ACTTAGAAACGACACTGTCAGGAACGCTATGGACAGTGGAAACATGCAAGAGGAGGAGGTCGTCTATGAGTCTTGTGTTTTTTGTCGGAGTTTTGTGTCGGAGGTCGTAAATGAGTCATCCGTCATCCATTTTTTATTCAGAGGAGGAAAGCGGGACAAGATGTTGTGGAAGAGGGCGGCAGAAGCTTGGTTTGGTGTAGAAGGCTTCCAGCCGTACATGTTTGAGCCCTTGCTTCGCAACGTTGCTAGTTCTGTTAGCTTTACGCCTGCCGAAGACACAGACGTCCATCCCAGTGAACACTGGGACGGAACTCTATGGGGAAGGAAATTACTCTTATTTCAACCGCTGCGTATATTAGCAGCGACATATGAATCAAGATGCTATTGACCGAAAAAACGTGATTGACAGATGACCGTTGATATATGATTGGCTGAATTTAGGTGTTCAGTCTGACGTATAACTAACTGGCCTGCAGAAGATGACGAAAAAAAAACTGATTTTAAGACGGTATATATTTTTAAAATCAAAATTTTCTAACTGTGGGGACAATATGGTCTGATAAAGAGTACATTTATATACATGTTTAAGCCAGAATTATTTGAAATTCAAATATAACTTCCCTACAACTTTAAAAAGCAACTTTAGATACTGCTAAGCAGGCTTTTAACTAGACGTGTGGTTTTTATGTCTTTTTAAGTTTCCATTTGTTTTTAAAATGTTGATATACATTGTATTCTACATTATTTTATTACATTTTCACTGTGAAACATTTTGATCTTTATCTCTAAAAAGTGCTAAACAAATAAATTTTACTTACTACAAAATATGGCAAACATAAGGGGGAAAAAAACTAATTCATTTGCTTAGAAATAAATTCTCTCTTGATTTATCTTTGAAGGTTAAAAACAATTTTGAAGGTTAAAAAAAAAACTTTTCTGACGTTTTGACGGACAGAATAAAAGGGAAGGAATGTTTGATTTTCTTTAAATATATCTTCAATATTTTGTTACTTTCATATAATTTTCTTTTTCCTCTTTGTATCAAAATAGTTATACAGCTTTAGATACTGTTGTGTGCACGTGATTTTTAGAGCCATAATTTAATACAACTATAACAAACCAAAGTCAAGTGCAACCAATTGCCGAAATGATGTGAAGTCATCCTAATCAGTTAATAAAACATTCCTGCATGGGTTTTAATCTCATAAAACACAGCTGTTCTGCGAAGGTCTCAGAGGTTTGTTAGAGAAGATTAGTAAACAAACGAAGTCACAGAGCGGAAAGGTCAGGGATTATGATGTCAACAAGTTTAAAGAGCATAAAACAAAGACCCAGTGAGAACTGTTCATAAATCACAGTAAAATCCCCTAAAATGTAATGATGTTAAGTGTTGTTGCATGAAAACTGTGAAAAAGTTAAACTAATGAATAACTATGATTACATTCTAACACTACAAAACACCTGATAAAAGCAGTGTGACTGGAACAATAACAGAGAATTACATCCTTACAAAAAAGTTTAATTCTTGTAAAATCTCAAGTTTAGTATCTGGCAGGCGATGCAAATTCTCTGTCATCCGGGTCATGGCCACAACAAACAGGCTTAAGGCCCCGTCCACACGAAGTCAAAACGAACACGAAACGCTGATATTTTCCAAAACGTTTGCCGTAAAGACGGAGACGTAAAATAAATGTGAGCGTCCACACGAATGCATGAAAACGCTGCAAAATGTATGCCAGGCCTGTAAGTGGCGCTGTGGTGCCAAAGCAAAAATAAGCGACGAAATGTTGGGCATGTGCACTAATATTTATACATGGTTGCCCTGCGGGTCCATTTTCGTGGTTCAGTCAAATTCAGGTGCTGAACTATGTCGTCGATATTGCTCTGTTCTTCCTGGAGATATTCCAGAAGAAGAAGATTCTGTTGTAAGCCCGACAGCAGGGTGAGTAGCATTAGCAGCAACGGCGCCATTGTTGTTTTGATACTGTGCGCGCATGCGTGTTTAGAGGCGACGCTATGACACATGGGTGTAAAAAAAAAATGCGGTTAGGGCGTAAAGATGGAAACGCGAAAACGGCGTTTCGAAATCTTCCCACTCTGAAGGCTGAATAAAAAAAAGATCGTTTACAGACCCCCGAAACGCCGGCTTTGTGTGGATGAGAGGCTGGTTTGGTGAAAAATTTGTGCGTTTAGGCCAGGGTTCGTCTTCGTTTGGACGGGGCCTTAATCTTACACTCAGTTTGCTGAGTTTAACAACTATCTAGGAGTGGTCGTCACTCCTGGGTTGGTGTTAAAACGTTTTTAGAAGATCTGAACCAAACCCGCTACCTTCGATAGAAACCCGTTTGTGGTGTAGCATCTAGACTTGATAAAATATGTCTAGTACATAATATCAAATGCAATACAAACTGTAATGCATTTTAGTTTTGCAGCCGAGGATCTCAATCTATATTCAGCTAACCTGGCATTTAGCCGACTGTTATGTCTAATGATAAAGTTGCAGAACCTTGGTTAAAATGATCTCTTCCTGTCTGACTCATTTTAAAAACCTTATAGAAACAAAGCCAACCACATGCTAATGCTTATAGTTTATAGTTAGAAAATCTTGCCTATACGCGACTCGAGTTGAGTGGGGTGGCATCCCCTTCTTAAATGACCATCCCCCCCATACCATCCCCTGTGAAATTTTATTACTGAATGTGTAAAATTCCTACTATATATTAACTAGGGCTGGGTGAAAAAAACGATTTAATCGATTTAGAATAGATTCATTTACATTTTTGCAAAATCAATGTCTAGGGAATGACCCGTGTGACGTTCACATTCAAATAAGCAGGACAGGTGGACTCATCATTTGAAGCCAGACAGCTGCAAATATACCCAATAGGTTGACTGAAGACAGATTAACGAATGGGGGCTCATCAGCAAACACCCTGTAGTTGTTACAGACAACGCTGCACATATGGTTTGTGCATTGAAGATAATGCAGCTCATGCATGTCTGCTGCTCAATTTGCGTTTAATGTGACAGGAAAAAACAAAATACATGAGCATTTCAAAACACAGTTGAACCACTTTCATTATTGTAAAAACAGATCGAATTAAAATTAATCGATTTAAAACTGTATGAACCAAAACCGAATCGGATTCAGGACTTTGGCGAAAATACCCAGCCCTAATATTAACAGTAGTGGGATTAATATTGCCCTTTCAACATTTGTTGGGCTGTGGGCTTACGAGTAGCCTGAGCGAAATAAATAAAATCAAAGAAGTGGCCTACCATAAATATGAAGGAGGAAATCTGTCCCCTGCATTTGTCCCTAACTATGTAGAGGCAGTAACTATGTAGCTATGCCAGTCCAAGGACTGACTGCAGTTCTACTGTAAGGTGCCTTGGTCAAGATCAATGATCGGCATACCTGACATGTAACAACCATTACATGCATACAACTAGACCAATGGTGAACTATCGGTAAGCAGAGTATGCAGTTGCTTAGGGGCCCTGTCACTGACACCTGGTGGGTCCCCTACGCAATTGTGGACTAGGGCGTCTTTTTGCAAATGTATTGGTGTGAAAAATCTGTCTTAAACCCACCTGATACAACATCGACCAACCGGACCTTACTTATACCGCAACACATGGCAGATTTCAACACATAGTGAGGCATTTAAACACGACACCAATAGCAAAGCAGACAGTGGTACTTTTAATTACTATGTTAATAACTGTGTATAGTTCATTAGGCGGTTGATAAAAAATACACCCCTATAATACGTTTCAAACCAAAATAAAGAACGATGTATTTGAGTATTTTATTTTTTACAATACGACTTGGAATTATGAGTAATCCAGAGCGTAGATTAAAAACATAACCGTTACGTACAATGTGTTAGCGACGATGTAAACCAAAAACAGGTGCTTAAGCGAATTCCAGAAGAAAAAAAAGCAAAGAAGAGCTGCTGGAAGAACGGAAAAAACTTGCCAAAATAAACACGTTCTTTCAAAGAACCGAAGAGGCAGAGGTGGACGTTG